GAGAAGCTGACGACTCTAGAGCTAATGATGGCCACGTACAACCCATTTGCCAAGCAATACCTCAACCACGAAGAGAAAATCCGAAGAGATATGACAGAGGGAAACGACTACATCAACGTTGTGTACCATCTACATGCTGACAAGCGCAGAACGGGGACTACCAATCTACCTACTGTGAGCGAGGTTGGTGTTGTAATGGTCGAGGATGGAAACTTTAACAAGTATCGGGATCTACAGATGTACACCAAGCCGCACGGACTCTTGCGTATTTTCGAGACCAACCCAATGTATGATCCGCTACAGTATCCCTTGCTATTCCCGATGGAAGAGCACGGTTGGACACTTACTGATACCTACGCCAACGGACAAAGGTATCGAGATAAAACAAAGATGTCTCTGCGAGAGTTTGTTGCGTATCGACTATTTCCGAAAGGGGACGATGGGGCCGCTTTACACCACGGTGGTCGGCTCTTTCAGCAGTGGTGTGTCGACCAACGAGCGAAAGTGGAGCAGGAATTTTTGCGGTGGATTTCCAATAACCAACAGACACTACGGGCGGAGCTTTACACCGGCGTAGCAGACGCATATCTGGATGAGACTACCTTTTTTTTTTACATATCTTGATCATTTTGGCGGACGAAGACAAACCACGGACACGAGATATCATCGACAAAATGGTCTCTGCAGAGATTCCCGACGAAGTCAGCAACCCAGATCTTTATAAGACAATGATGACGTGCATGATGCATGGTCCATGTGGACACTTAAATCCCCAGTGCGCCTGTATGAAGGACGGCAAGTGCTCCAAAGGATTTCCAAAACCTTTGGCGGAGATTACACGAGCAAATGTTGATGGGTATCCGGTCTACAGGCGTCGCCGTCGGTCGGAGGGTGTGTTAAAATTTCGAGGTCGGGAGTATGACAACGCGACGGCAAACCAATGGGTTGTACCTTACAATCCGTACTTTTCGCAGAAGTACAACTGTCATATCAACGTGAAGATTTGTACGGCTATCACGGCTGTGAAGTATCTATACAAATATGTGTACAAGGGTTCCGATAAGGCAGTACTCACGGTTGAATCCGTGAGGGGGGATGGTGAGCAGATGGGCAGACCACGCGACAAGCCATATGAGGTGTTGCGGTATCTCAATGCACGGTACATATCTCCTGTTGAAGCTTGCATGCGGCTTCTTGACTTTACCGTTCAAGGAAAAAGTCATTCCGTCGAGCAGCTCACAGTGCATCTGGAACAGAGGCAGATGATTGCCTTTCAAACTAGCGACCGACCTGAGACCGTTCTCGCGAATGGCGAGCACACGATGCTTACTCGCTTCTTCAATTTGTGTGCCAGCGAGGCCCCGGAAAATCAAATCGCAAGAACAATGCTTTACCAGGAGGTACCGAAAAAACTCAGTTGGAAGGATAAGCAATGGACCCGTCGTACCAAATTTCAAGCATCGCTCGGAAGACTGATCCACGTGTCGATACGGGATGCTGAGCGGTTTTTTCTTCGCGTGATGCTGTGTCATCGCAGAGGTCCAACTTCATTCGAAGATTTAAGGACGGTAGGTGGCGTTGTTCACCCGAACTATGAGACGGCCGCCCTGCATGCCGGCTACCTTTAAAACGACGAGGAGTGGGTTGCGTGTATGACCGAGGCTGCCGCATATCAAATGCCCTACCAGCTTCGCCAGTTGTTTGCTACGCTTTTGGTGTACTCAATGCCAACCGATGTTCGCGGTTTGTGGAATACGTTCCACAAGGATTTGTCTGAGGACTTTCTACACAGATACCGCAACCTGCTCGATCCAGTTCGGGGTTCCGTTGTTATGTTCGAGACGCTGAAAAGTATTAACGACCTTTGGCGAGTTAGCGGGTACTCCGTTCAAGATTTTGATCTACCTCAACTCAGCGATCATCCAAGATTAGTACTCCAGTCTCTTCAGGAAAACTCACTCATTCGCCGCGAGTTAACAGGATACGACCGGGCTACGTTGGAGGAAATTGTGCGCGCTGGAAGTCAGCTCAATGCTGGGCAACAAGCAATCTATGGCCAAATCACTGCCGCAGGAAGCGATCCGGCGGTTGGCAAAAAGCTGTTCTACATTGACGGACCTGGGGGAACAGGAAAATCTACCTTACTTCGACACATACTGGCAAGGATGCGGCATGACGGCAAAATTGCTCTAGCAGTTGCGTCCAGCGGGATCGCGTCACTACTTCTTATGGGCAAGAGAACAGCACATTCCACCATCAAGATACCACTGAAGTTAGACAAGGACTCGACTTGCTCTATTTCCAAACGATCACATTTGCGAAAACTGATCGAGAAGGCGAGCTTGGTTATCTGGGATGAAGCACCGATGACCCATCGGCATGCATTTGAAGCCGTGGGTCGGACGCTACGAGACATCCTGAGCAACCTCCGCGAGCCTTTTGGGATTAAGGTGTTTGTTCTTTCTGGAGATTTCCGGCAAATTCTTCCGGCTGTAAAGAGAGGCACGCCTGCGGAAACAATTGATGCCTGTCTCAAGTCATCCGACCTTTGGCCTCATTTCCAACAAGTGCGGCTTTGGGAGAACATGCGCGTCCAAACAGCGGATAACCTGACAAGCGCTGACGATATTGCTCAATTTTCAGAGTTCTTGCTACGGGTCGGAGAAGGGAGACACGAAATCGACCGGGTCCTGGGCGGAGGGTTTTTGAAACTACCCCGTGATATGCTACTGGATAACCCTCCGGACGAGCCAGATGAAGATGCTGACATTGCGCCTGGTACAATTCCAAAAGGAATGGCCAAAATGATTGATGTCATGTATGCTGATGTGAACGATCCTGATGTCGCTACAGACGAGTGCTTCGCCAACCGTACAATCTTGACGACAACTAACGCATTGGTTTACCGCATCAACGAGGCGGTTTCGGGTCGACTTCAAACGACCGCGCATGAATACCTATCTGCTGACTCCGTCGAAGACGATGACGGAAGTGTCTTCGATCAAGAGTTTCTTCATTCCGTCAACATTAACGGAATCCCGCCCCACAGGCTCATACTCAAGAAAGGCATTCCCGTCATGATGATGAGAAATCTGAACCCGGATTTGGGGCTTTGTAGCGGTACGCGCCTGAGGATCGTTGACCTAAAGCCACACATCATTCACGCAACAATCATGACGGGGGAGCGGCGGGGTCAGCATGATCTAATTCTTTTTGTCAGCGACGATGATACTCGAGAGTTTCCGTTTCGCCTACGTCGAAAGCAGCTCCCTGTACAGCCAGCGTTTGCAATGACTATCAACCAGGCCCAAGGTCAAACCCTTATGAATCTAGGGCTATATCTTGCTACACCGTGTTTCTCACATGGCCAGCTGTACGTCGCCCTATCAAGGGTTACATCACGCCCGAATTTTCGAGCCCTCATTGAATATCCGGAACAGGAGGAGGAAGATGGAGTCTACACAAGCAATATCGTTTTCCGACAAATTTTTGACATGTAAGCACCTTTTTTTACATTTTACTTCGTTACATCATTAAAACAATTTAATTTAAAAAGTAAAACATTAGGCACCGGATTGGGAGCGAATTATAAAGGTATTTTTGATTTAGAAATCATTGTTTGTCCCACCCCTACTCCCCACCCCGCCGGAGCGAAGCGGAGGCGGAGGCGGAAAAAAATAAAGGGTGATTTAATAAAAACTACTGCCGCGTAGCGGCGGCGCTCGGTTAGTTGACCTCAAGTATCACAAGATTTGTAACTATGTTGAGCGTCAAGAGCTTGCGATCGAGTACTCCCGTCTGAGGGCATGGTGGTGGATATCTGAACGAAACCTCTCAACTCTAAGCAGCTCAAGAAGCTTAGAAAGCTTTTTTGAACGTGATGCCTTTATCTCCTAACAGAAAGTCTGAGCTCAAACTGAGTTTCGATGGAGTAAAGGCAAACGCAGCACAACAGTGATCAGATTGCGAAGTGGGAGTGTGATGAAGGTCGTGTTCAAGTCTCCACTGCTACTTGAGAAGACTATACGGCAAGTATACGCCTGTGGCGGTGTGAGGTAGTCCAGCGTTGTGCATACGGAACACGTCTGATAGTGTATAGTGAGAGCTGGCACCTTCGAGGTTTTTCCCTTAATCCCAATTCTGCTCAGAGGGAAATAAAGCGTTTCTTTCGGTTGGTCTCCTACCTACTAAGTGACACCATTTGACTGCGCATTGTGCTAAAAAGAGCGACGGTCAGTCGAAAACGGTTTATCTGTTTTGGCAAACCATTTTCGAAATGTAAACGGTCACTAACCATAAGGAATATGCGAGTCATTTTGCCAGAAAATGTCCCCTATTATTGAGTCATTTTTGCCAGAAAATGACTCGCATATCCCTTATGGTTAGTGACCGTTTACAT